AAATGCCAATTCTTTATACAAACTATGCATCTCCTTTTCTTTTTTTCTTGCATTATTCTTGTTAATTATTAATTTATCAGATTATATTATTCAAAATGAGCTGAAGCAATTTGACAAGTTCCGAGGGGACCAAACTTTGACCAATTTTGTGATTGTAACCTATTATGCATTGTCTTCACGACATAGAAAGGTAATAATGTTGGCAGAAAATTTTATAAATGTTCAAATAATTTACAAAAATCTAACTAATAGAGATTGTAAATTTTCTCAGAATAGAGATTGTAAAATTTTTCAATGGGTTGATGAACCAAGGGATGCAATATTAGAGCAAGGTGATCCAAAAGATAAATACATCTGATGACACGGTGAATAATGATCTCAAAGACTTAAAATTTCTTGTGAAGACCTTGCTCTTGTTTGATTTTGTTATCGTAGCATTGTTGTTATTATTGTTAACGTTGTATTTATTTTGATGATGTTGATGTATTTTGGAGAACAAAATATACTACTTTAAATTTTTTTGGTAAGCAAATTCATATCTTCAGCTGGAATGCAGCTTATGTTGAATATATTATATTTCTATGATTATTTTAAGAGCATAAAATTGGATTAATGTTCACCATAAATTCTCTTATAGGGTTGTGAGTGAAAATAACTTCAAAAACTAATATTGGATTTATTCCACAAACGACACTTTCAGAACTATATTTTTCAAACAAAACTGTATATTCATTAGTTCACATGCATCACTTTCAAAACTGTAGTTTTCAAACAGGTCAATTAACAATTACTTTCGAAACAACAACTTCTAAACAACAGATTTTCAATAGAACTTTTTGAATTGAGATTTTGTACAGCCAGGGCCCAAACAAATGCACCCTAAAACAGCTCATTGCAGAAGGATAACATTTTGACATTTCTCTTCTAAATAATTTAAATGCAAATTATATCCATTAGTGGTATTTTATTAACAATTCATAGCAGGTTAAGCAAGGCTTAACAAGTAAAAGACAAGTCAAGCTCAGACAAAAAGTAATAAAGTAGCCCTTCAGGATGAAACAGAAGAAAAATTTCACAATTAAGTTGTTTCGGAATTTGGATTGTGATTTGGACAAATGATGAAAAATTCAAAATCTTTGATATTATTCATTCATGTCGACAATGCTATTCATGAGACAAGAACTCGGTATAGACATCTTTCAAATTTTATAAGTCATATTTTGCAATAAAAGAAATTTTAAGAAAAGGACCTGCAAGAGATTATCCCATCTACTGATGCTTGCTAAGAACGAAATGGTTCAGTGCAATGAGGAGTTCTGTTAATCTAGATTGTTCTTGTATCAATGGAGCTGAAAATTAGAGAACTTTTTAAAAATCGCCTTAACTTAATTTTTTAAATAAATTCGACATAATAAAAAAAAAATTAACAAAATCAACGAAGTCTGGAAGTTAAAACGAGAAAATAGGGATTGTCAGTAATTCAAAATGATATTAATGAAGTCTCATCAGTGAACTATCAAAGTCATGTTAGGCGAATTTAATATAGCAAATAAAGCACAGAAAAAAATAGGCAAGCAATAAATTCAATCAATATCCACATACCTCTGAATCAAACGCAAGGCATACGACAGAGAGCATAGTGCTGGTATTGGAAAAACTTGACTTTCAGGGACTGTATTTATAAAATTTCTTGAAATAGGAACCTTCTGAAGAATATAATCTCCAAGGGTTTCATAGGTAATCAAATGACCTGTTCATAATTTTTGCGTGTTTAATAAAAACTTCTAAGCAAACAAAATGATCCACTGGTGTGACTTGATAAGTGAAAAAACAAAACTGTAAAATTACATGCAACTTCCAAAAGTGGTCTGGATAGACTCGACGACGATATGAGAAATTTTTTCGCCAAGTAATCCAAGATACTTGAAACAGTCATTAGCGATAATAAAGCGAGTTGGTTCTACATTTACTTCCCTGGGCAATTGCAGTAAAGCATGGTCGACTTTGCTTATGGTCACAGGATCTCTTGCAAACCATCCTGAGGATAGATTTGTAAAAATAAGTGTAAATAGCATGAAAGTATCGGTATATTGAAGAGAAAGGCAACACAGAATTTCTAGTAAGCACTTCATAATTGTTAATATTTACGGATAAATATGGTGGTTCGATGGCGAACCAAATGCATTGCTTTTGTTTTGAGTTGCACAACAAAGGACAAATAAGAGGCTCATTGTACCCCCGTAAAATTGTTTAAAGTGCATCAACAACTTTAAATTTAAAACGAGTATTGCATCAGATCATAGAATTGCCACTCCTAATAAAACATATATATGACCGAAATTTTAAAAAAGAAACTTACATACATACCACAGAGTTCTTATGTATTTACATATCTAACACCCTAAGTTTGATATTTATAAGTTTGATATTTACACTATAACCCCTTATTGTCATAAACCACAATGTAGTGATGCTTTGTCTAAGACGAGCAAAAACATCATTTTATTAACACTTTCCAGAATAGCCTCCAGAATAGCCTAAAGTGAAGGTGAGTTTCTCATATTTTTTTGTAATAGATCAGAATAGCCTAAAGTGAAGGTGAGTTTCTCATATTTTTTTGTAATAGATATTAAAAGTTTATCTTTTGAGGCAATAGCATCATTTTAAACAACCCACCGGGAGAAGGGAAACATGTCGAAAAAAATAACCGCTCTAAGATAAGAAAAACATATCAAATATCACAAAAATATATCAAATTGAAGCATTTTTATATAGGGGCATTTACATAGCACACTATTCTAATGTATTTACATATTATGTATTTACTTACATTTCTCACACCTAAACTTTCATATTTACACACATAGTGATATGTCATCAACAAATTCTCATTATCCTACATGAATCTCGAGGCATGACATGAATCTTAAGATAACTTTTTGAACAAGAAATGTGAAACTTCAATTAAAATTCATCCAGAACTCCAATTTCAGCTAACTTAAAGTCAAACTAATCAGCTCAACGAGATGAACTAAACGGTATCAAAATTGATCCGATCACAACCAAATCAAGCCTAGATCAAGCCATTAAACCATTTTTAAAATCTTTCCATGAATATTTGGAAAGTCAAATGAATTCTGAATTGGGCAAGTCAATAGTCGAATCAAGCATATCGACGAGATGAATCCAACGAGCCCAAAATCGCTTAATTCCTGCAACGTTAATGCACTAAAATATCCATTAAAACCCGTCAGATTAGGGGAATCTTTCCGGGCCGTCCAATTAGAATGGTTCATATTCCTTCATTAATTGCAACCGAAACTCTATATATAGAGTCCCACCACTGAAACTTGAAGGAGTTGAAGTTCAACATCAATCATCCAGTCGCCGACCGCCGCCAGCCACCACTACCTGACTGCTGCTGATTAGTATCGACCGCTGCCCATTCCTTGTGATGAAGCACCATACGAAGCAATTTACGAAGCGACGCAACAACACACCTTGAAGATGGTGTAGCGCACCCCAAAGACAGCGCAACAATGCACCCCGAAGACGGTGTAAGAACGCACCCCAAAAATGGTGTAACAATGCACTTCAAAGACGGCACAACAACACATCTTGAAGATGGGGTAACGATGCACCTCGCATATGCTCGTGCAGCTCCTGACTCTGGCCCTCACAGCCTACGAACATCATTATTACTCACCACTACGGTTTACGTGATCAGTTACTGTCTAGTGGTCCACAGCTCATACAGCTCTCGACTCCGGCTCTCACAGTCAACGGGTGTCATTACTACTCACCACTATGACTTACACGACCAATTATGACCTACGAGGTCTACAACTCATACAACTCCTGACTCTGACCCTCGTAATCTACGGATGTCATTACTACTCATCACTATGACTTACGTGACAAATTATGACCTATGTGGTTCACAGCTCATGTAGTTCCCAACTCCGGCCCTCACAGCTTACGGACGTCATTACTACTCACCACTATAACTTATATTACAAATAATGACCTACGTGATCCACAGCTCGCGCAACTCCCGATTTCGCTCCTCGCGCTCTACGGACGTCAATACTACTCACCACTAAATGTAACCAACAACGGCCTACGTGGGCCACAACTCATGCAGTTTTTGACTCCAAACACTCTGGCCCACTGACATCATTGTGGCTCACATTATGACCTAAACGACCTATGTGGTTCACAACTCCTGCAACTCCTTACTACATCTTCTATGGCCAACCGACGCTCCTGAAACAACCATCTACGACCCACCTGGTTAAGTACTGTCATGTTTATCAACTATAACTTCTACAATAAGCTAACGCTACAACTATCATTTATAACATTTATGACGGACTAGTACCTCCCCGACAATCAATTTTGCCCCTTACATTTTGTTGTCGCCAAGAACTATAGCCATATTACAGATATACAACGCTGCAATTCCATCTCAAATTCAGGAGAAGAGTGAACTTGTGTACTCATCATTCATAGTGGATTATTTCAGCTGGGCTAGACCCCGTGATTTTTTCGCCTTTCAGAAGTTTTCTATGTAAAAAATGGAGGTGTCTCCTCCTGCTTCTCATTAATTACCTGTGTGTTGATTTTTCAAGCAATGCTAAGACGATAAATAATCATTACTCAACCACCGTGAATCTTCTAGCACCCATCAGTTTGGCGCCTGTGAGAAATGAAATCTCGTTCGACACTGTATTCAACTCTAAGACACCAAGCCTCTACTTTGTTTTACAATGATGTACTCCATCCAATTAAAAAAGAAACCTCTTTTACATCTTGACTATCTTCTCTAAAGCATTCTTCGATGTGGGGGCGCCTTCACTGCAATCTTGAAAAGTCGTTCACGCCAACGTCTTGGGCACGATGTAGTGGGGTAATCTTGTTGCATCCTATTCAGACACAAAGCCTTTCAAAACTTCTTCCAAGTTGTGAGGCAACCTTCATTGCAGTTGGTATGGTCATTCACATCAACGTCCCGAGCACAATTGTAGTGGGGTAGTCTTCTCGCATCCTATTCAAACAGGCTGGGGGCAAAATTCACTGTAGTCTCGAAAGGTCGTTCACGTTAACGTCGCAAGCATGACTGTGGTAGGTTAACAAGCTTTCAACAAGATACGCCAAAATAACTGCTCAACCAATATTAAAAGTTAGGGGCATTAACATACATACAACACAAATCTTATGTACTTACATATCTACCACCCAAACTTCACACTTTTACATTTATGCACCCAACTCTTTCATATCACATCAAAAATACCACAATTTACCTTTTAAAAAGTGAAATAAACGTTTTCTTACATAGGTAAGGTGGCATCTATACCAAAAATGAAATTTAGGTCTTCGATAACGTAAATACATAAGAATTGAGTGGCATGTATGTAAATCTTCCTAAGAATATTTTTTTAAAGAAAAATCATGGATATTGCACTGTGAGGGCCAGGTACACAGAAACTCCCTCTCAATTCTTGTTCATAACACATGTCATGCTAAGATTCTGAATGTTTCTAAATATCTCAAATCAATGCACCGATAAAGTACAAAACTTATCTACAGTTTTACACTTCAAAGATGTCTAGGTCAAGATAGCTACATTACCTTTTCATTCTACATTGTGATTTGCGTAAAAAATTAGCTTCCTATATTTAGTCTCAGAGTCTATAACCCAAACTCTTTTAATATGGCTTGATATGGTCTTTATAAAGGACTATTTTAGCCCCCATTAAAAGTAATGTGGGAACTACTTTTACACTTCCATAGACTCTAGAAGTAATATTGACACTTTTTATTTACAATGTAATAATTTAGTTGAAGATATATATTACAAAACTTTGTGTAATGATTTAGATAAAATTGAAGTTAGCTATGATTAGGCTAAAGTCAGCATCAGAAGGCCATTTAACAATGCATGATCGATAACAAGACTAGTTTGTTGTGTTAATGCATGCAAGAGAATTGGTTTAGTTGCAAATTGAATAGTTAAAAAATATGTTGGTTTTGATATATCAAAAATGAGTTTAATCGCATGTGTATCAAACCCAACTTAAATTCATCTTTGGTTATTTCCTATAAGTAGTATTATAGTTGATTATTTGACTATGGTCGAGTTTTTCAAGCAATTTGTGGGTCCCATGGGTCTGTGGCGCTTTCTACTATAATTATGCCGAAAACATAGGAATTGGGTGGCAAAATTATATAGTGTATATAGAAATCAACTCAATGTTGAAATCTACGAGGGACTACAATTCTCCTCTGTAAAGGGTATTGTGCACTAGTTGATTGGATGGCGGACATCATCGTTAAGACCAATCTTAAACATCATAATCCCCAATGACAATGGATTTATTGATAGATTTTTTTGGGCTCA